ATTTGTTTGGCCCTCGATCTTCACATAACACCACAGCTCCACCTACTGTTAAAACCGCAGTCTGCAATAATACACGTCGTGTTTTACTTAGCACAAAATAGATATATCAACATCCAGGGGTTTATCTAATTACAGTAAATAAAAAAGGCATAGGGACCATCAACATGCAAAAAACGTAGATGCATCTCACATGAGTTATGTTTTAAAGATGGTATTGGTTGATAACATCTCAGTCTGTTATTGTTGAAAAATAACCAGCAATGGCCGACCTCAATCTCCAATTATAGGCCCCGGGCTTCACAGATCTTCACCAGACCAGTCTCACACTGTACAGGTTGCCCATCTGGTATGCAAGGGAGGGCTGGCAATTTTTGGACCAGGGGTAATAATAATAAATGAATTATATTTTTAGCACAGCTCACAGATCCAGTATCCATAGTCCATTTTATGGGGTGCATGAAATATATACAGATTTCAAAGATGAAGACTGCTTAAAGGACCACTATAGTGCCAGGAAAACATACTCATTTTCCTGGCACTATAGTGCCCTGAGGGTGCCCCCACCCTCAGGGTCCCCCTCCCGCCCGGCTCTGGAAGGGGGAAAGGGGGAAAAACTTACCTTTTTCCAGCGCTGGGCGGACAGCTCTCCTCCTCCGATCCTCCTCTTCTCCTCCCCGTCGGCTGAATGTGCACGCGCGGAAAGAGCTGCGCGCTCATTCAGCCGGTCACATAGAAAAGCATTCATAATGCTTTCCTATGGACGCTGGCGTGCTCTCACTGTGAAAATCACAGTGAGAAGCACGCAAGCACCTCTAGTGGCTGTCAATGAGACAGCCACTAGAGGAAATAGGGGAAGGCTTAACCCATTCATAAACATAGCAGTTTCCCCGAAACGGCTATATTTATGAAAAAATGGGTTAACCCTAGCTGGACCTGGCACCCAGACCACTTCATTAAGCTGAAGTGGTCTGGGTGCCTAGAGTGGTCCTTTAAGTTATATGTGAAATTAAAACGGGGAAGGCACACCCGGAACATGCATTTTTTAGGAATGGTGCTGCCGTAGAGACCAACATATATATAATACAGTATAAGGAACAGCGTGCACATAAAAATACATCTTTACATGTTATAAGGCTACATAGAATCTCCACCTTGGCAAACAAATATAGGGATTCAGTCCCACCATATGGCCATATTGTGTTAAGCCCACCTCTACTTCACAGTACCCCAATATCGCTAGGTCGTACACTAATTCAAATGTGGGAGACAAATTAATTAAATAGTGCTAAATAAACAAAAGTGTATTTTAATACTATATATTGCAAAATGAATGTAATGAAAAAGCAATTCAAACAAATCTAAAGCTTCACTTTTGAAAAAGTCACGGCGAAACGCGTCTAGTGAGGAAGAACTATTTGACTTTTCTATTCAGACTGGTATTTTATTATTAAATACAAGAAACTACCGGCCAAAGAAAACTCTGGCAGGAAGTGAAAGGGTTACAGGGGTAGTAAAGGGCATAACCCTAAATATATAGAAAAAACAGAAAAAGTAATGAGGAGAGCTCCTCGTAAAGCCGGGATATTTCTCCTCACCACTACTACCCCCGATAAATCTCAGGTAATAATGGCTTAAAAACTGACAACCTTTATTGAAACAAAAATAATAATAATAATATAAAAAAACCCACACACACAAAAAAAGCACCCATTCACCCTAAATTGTGAACAGTTAAAACGTAGAGACTAGAGACTACAGGTCTAGCTGGTAGAGTATTCAGGCAAATTGCTTGTATAGGCAAGTATATAACAATGTATCAGAACAATGCAGTTTATGTATAATTGTATGAAACAACTGAATACAGTTGCAAAAAGTGTATACCAAAAAAGTCCAGCCTGTTGATAGTTAATTACAGCCAAAAAACAGCAATAAGCCTTCCCCTATTGGGTTAAAATAGGGAAAATGAACTTAAGTAACCTCTTCAATAGAAATCCCTGATTTAGATATAGGAAAAAATGGACTTAGGTAACCTCTTTAGTAGAAATCCCTGATTTAGATATCAGCTTCCAACAACGAAAAAACTCCTTGTATTTAATCTAGCAGAAGTTAAATCGAAAGGATAGGGAGATAAGGGATATAGGAAACAGATAGGTTGGAAAAAGTGCTATCTAGACAGGGTCCAATATAAAAAAAGGGGGCTCTGTCACCGCACAAACTTAGATCCCTATAGTATACAGAGAGACCGCAAAAATAGAGGATCTCTCAGTGGGGGATGTCCCGCAGGCTGTAGTCTCAGTCAAAAAAACGCCAAAATCATCAAATCATAACTATGTAGTCATAAGTATATACAGAAGTCGCCCAACGCGCGTTTCGGCGGTCTAACCGCCTTTCTCAAGGGCAGGCAAATGGCAATAAAATTCCCTCCCCTCGCTTCTTAAATATCATAATGCCCTCCTACCTGTCCACGGGAGGACGGGTTTAGTCACGTCCGCCAAGCGATTGTTCACAGCCGGACAAAAGATATGTAATCACAGCCCACAAGTGAAGTGCGCATGTCCACGTCAAATCACGAGCGCATGCGCAAACACTTAGAATTTGAACTTGAGTATAAATCTTCATAAAGACAGAAGTGAATCTCACTGTATAGGGATATTATTCAATAAGTTGGGTGTAAAGAGAACCATATCAATCAGATATCCATAGGTAGGTATATCATCCCTATAAATTTAAAGAAACCTTTTTATGTATATAGAAAAT